TTTTTACAAGAACAAAACTAGGGAGACAAATGCTTCATTTAAGCAGCAAATACCTTCTTACTTAGAGAAAAAAGCTCTTCCCTGTTTTCAAAGAGAAAGTACATTAGGAAATACACAGTTTGTTTCTACGAAGAAAGGAAAAGAACAAACAAAACAAAACCTCAAGTAAGCAGACTGCGCAAAGAGGTTTTCCTGTTTAGACAATCTCCCTCTGCCTCATAGCTGCTCTTCAATATTGCTAAATTACTTATCAGCTTTCATTGTCATTTTGGTAAATGGTTTTCTAACTCAAAACTTCTCAAAAAGTACATGACAAATGGCCATTTAGAAGCATCCTTTACAGAGGAATCCAAGCTAGCAGCCGATTTTCAAATAAAATATCCATTAGACCTTATGCCTGTAGTTCTAGATATACACACTGATATAGTAAAGAGCAAGTGTCAGTATGCTTTTCCCCTTAAATTTCAGTAAAAGTACTTTATGAATACAGAAAAAAAAATTCACTAAGAGCTCCATTTTCCTTTCTGCAGAGAAGCCATCATGAGTGCTTATGTTTCTATAGAAACAACTGATCATTCAGTATTAGGACTTCACAGAATCAATTTGGAAGAGAAATTGAGTTAAAAGAAAAACATGCATGTAAAAAGTGATAACGAAATGTACAACTAGCACAGGGTTCCAGTATGAAGAGTCTATGGAAAAGCCTTTACACAATATATTTACCTCCCATGTTTATTCAGTCATATGTTATCAGTATCAAGAATCTTTGCTACCCTTTCTCCCGTTAGACTTGGAATCAACAAAAAACTAAAGAGAATTTTATTCTTTCTTCTACAGAGTTTGTTGCTCAGTCCCAACTACAGGGCCAATTTCATCTGTACAAATTTAGGCAGAATTTGTCTTAAAAAGCTTTAATACAGACGGTGGCAACATGCAAAAAAGCAATGACGCTTGAAGTCCAAACAAAGAGTATGCACAGATGTCACATTTCTAGTGGGACAGATGCTGTTCACCCTCCAGAAACTGGTAGAGTACAAGTATTTGCAGTTTCTCCCACAGGAAATATGCCAGAGCTAAGAGAAAGTCTTTTATCCGTCAGTAAGGAAGATATCCCTGTGCAAGAGTTTCTCACACAGACACACCTGTATGAGTTTTGCTTCTGGGACCCAGGAGGAGTCAAGTGGTGGGGAAAAGCTCCTTGCGTCTTCCCCAGATGAGTTTTGTCCTTTGGAAGGGATAAACTCCTCTAGCATAGCTAGGAGCATAGGTTGGCTCAGAATACATTTATCGTTTAAATGCACATTTACTGCTACATCAAGGGGTTTCTCTTCACCTACAGTTGGAAACTGCTTTAGAAGGGTTAATTTGGTTTAAACATATTAAGGGTTAAATGAAAATACCAACTGGCCAAGTGACACTCCTTGGGTTATGTGTCTCAGGACACAGAAGGATTGTACACACTGTACATTTTCACATTGTAAAGAAGCTATTCTGCAACACTATTTTTTTGAAGTAAGAAAATGTAGATATTAAACTGATGTTGGAGGTAGGTGGAACAGTTATTAGAATAAAATTTTCACTGCCAATTTATTTTAATATCTTCCATGGCATGACAAAACACACAGTTTTACCAAAAAATAAATATACTAAGCTTCTACATATAAAGCAGGGCCTGAAACTGTATGGGAAGAGATTAAATTTGCCCACTGCTTGATTACTTTTTGATTCAAAGATTACCGCATATAAACAGAACAGGAATTTCTTTTCTCCTCCTTTTATGTGGAAGGTTTTTCTTCAACTTTGCAGAAATATTTCAACCATCTCAAGTGAAGACAACTGAAATATGAAGTTCTAAATCATCCACTAGATCTGAGATTTTATACCAACTGTTTACTCACACAAAACAAGAGCCCATTAATTAGAACTCCAATATTCATCATATTAAGCAGGAGTAAGACCAGCATACCATTTGAAAGCCTCATTTCAACTCTGAACTGCAGTGCATTTTTTAAGAAACACATCACACACAAAACTGACACTGAAGGTTAGCTGGCCAGAGTCTAATCTTCTGTTTTAATCTTTTTTTCTCTTCAAAGTTCATGACTTAAGAAGAGGGAGGAAGTGAGAGTTACAGTAACTAAAACTAACCCTCTTGGCTATTGTGGTCTATGGAAGAGTTTAGACAATTACAAAATGGAGAAAGTGAGAAAGATATGCATTTTGAACTTTTGGGAGCTTAAATCTGAACATGGAGGAGGGGAAATGCTTTTTTAAATTTTAAGTTTGATTATTATATAAGAGTGGCATGAGTGAGGCACTAAGAAACTAATTCTTCTCTGAAAATTTAAGATTTATCCCTCAGCTTAATAAAACCACATTTTTACTTTAACGTAATGGTAGATGTATGCAATCAGGTAGAGATGAAAAGCTAGTTCAATATGGTTTTGAGCGCCAAAATGATTCACAGTTAAAGTTAGTGAATAATCATATTACAGCTATCATGGTTTGCTGTATAGCCCTTTTTTCTCCACTCTCCCCACTTCTTTCTTACTATATAATTTAGTATTAAACACAAGTAACTGCAAGCTTTTTAGGGCTAGGACAGTGGTTTTTGTACATTTGTACTGCACTTAGCACCAAAAGGTAACAAAATCATAACCAAGACCTCTAGGTACTAGTGAAAGATGAAAAGGAGTGTACTTTAAAGTTATAGCAGATATTTACTATTTCCTCCGTCTTCCCAGCTCTGTTCATAAAAGTTTTTAAGTGTCTGCAATTGACCATACATTGAAGTAGTAACATTATGATAAGACACAGTTTTACCATGATTTTGTATTCCATAATTTATACTGTATTAAAAATAGAAGGGGTAACAACCTGGACTTATAAAACTTAAAATTTTAGAATGCTAAAATAATCTTGGCAATTTGAAAATTGGCAGTCAAAGTGAAATAGATGACTTCCATAGTATGACATTTTGTACCAGTGTGTGTTTAGAGATTTATATAGATTACAAGGATGGCAATGAAACCAAACCAAACAGAGAAAGTTGTACTTCACTTGACACCATCTGCTAAATAGGAGTAATCGTGAGAAAAGAGAAGCATACACTAAAGTTTATTGTCCATTTTGGCACCTGCTTCAAATTTTTGGCTAAGTGCCACTTACAGGCAGATTTGCTGCCACTGACTTTTTTTTTTTTTTTTTTAAAGGAAACCTAATACTGGCAACATCTTCACTGACACAAAGGGTACCATTTGATTCAGCTGAAGTAAAATAGGACTTTTCTATTTCATACAGCTCAGATCAGTCAAGTCAGTTGAGGGCCTTGGAAAAGATAGCTCTGTAATATCAGCAATATTTTCTCAGCACTCCATTGTTATGCTAAGGCACTTGGCACTAAGTTACCAAAATAAACTGGAATACTGCAATACTGAATGCTGCAGCAACCCCCTACCTGGTGGAATTCACACTCCTGAGTTGGGTGCTTTGACTCCCAATTTAATGTATGGACAGAGTTACGTACCGAGGAATAGGATTCACAAAGCTAGCCTGTTCAACAGAAAGCTACTTGAGTTAATCGGTAAAAATACCAAGGGCAAAGAGGTAGGTATGTTTGAACCTGTGTCCCTGTTTGGAACTTAGACACCTAAATCAGGGATCCTGGGGTTTATTTTGTTTTTTAAACAGAAAAATCGCAAATTCTCTGATAAAACCCCACAAGTTTGCTGATTAAAACCCTCCCAAATCCATGACTGAAATGAAACACCACTATAGGTTTAGGTACCAATTTAACTCAATGTTTTATTGATATATTTAGAATTTTAAAGCAATTTGGAAGCCTACCAGTGCTTCAATCACTATAATAAAATAAATTTTAAGTACCTATAAATTTTTGGTATTTGATTTTGGGTTTATCACGAAAAATCAGAGGTCCCCCTGCCCCCTTTGCTCACTAGAATGCAGGTCCAGGCCCCTCTCTCCCCACCCACAGCCCCCTGAAACCCCAGTCTTGCCCGAGGGGGCCCCCAGCTGCCAGGGACCCAGGTCCACAGCCCCCTGTCGTCCCCCCCACCAGCACCACCCGAGGCCCCAGCTGCTACTCGCGGAAGGCAGCGGATGCTGTGCCGGAGTGGAGTGCGGCTCTCCCTCCCCCATAGGTGGCACAGACAGAGCAGAGCCCATGGGGGGGGAAAGAGGGAAGAATGCTGGAGGGCTGCTCGCTGCAGGTTTGGGGCTCTGCCCCCTCCGCCTGAGGGCCTCCATAACCCAGCGGGCAGGAGCTGGCACGGCAAGGCAGAGTGGGGCCAGGCAGAGAAGCTCCTTGCCACCGCAAGCCCTCGGCCATCCTGGCAAGACATCCCCAGCCTGCCTGGCAGCAGTGGGAGGCACAACCCTGCACCACCTTCCCACTGCTGCCAGGGGTGCAGGGGGTGCTTCACCATGGCAGTGCAAGCCTTGTGGCGGTGGCACTGAGCTTCCCCGTCCCACTCTGCTCTGCCCTGCTGCACCAGGTCCCACCCACTGGGCCACGGAGGCCCCAGGGGGAGGGAAGCAGGGCAAGGAGCCCCAGCCTGCACCTGCCCATGCAGAGATTTGGAACTCAAAAAGGAATCCTATAAAAAGTGGAATCTTGGTTGTAATACTAGGGAAGAGTATAAGAGCATTGCACAGGTATGCAAGGAGAAAATGAGGAAGACCAAGGTACAATTTGAGATGCAGCTGGCAAGGGACATGGAAAGAGGCAATAAAAAGGGATTCTACAGGTATGTCAAAAGTAAGATGAAGACCAGAGAAGCTGTATGTCCCTTACAGAATGCAGAAGTAATATTGTTACAGATGATGCAGAGAAGGCCTGCATTTAATACCTTTTTTACTTCAGTTTTCACAGGTAGGGTCAGCTACCAAATGATAAGTAGTTAGCAGCAAGAGATAGGGATGGAGACTAAGAGCCTAGAGTAATAGCAGAACAGATTAAGGATTGTGTAGAGAAGCTAGATGCATTTATACCGGCAGGGTTGTATGGGATGCATCCTAGGGGACTGAAGGAATTGGCTGAAGTAATTTCAGAGCCATTAGCCATCCTCTTTGAGGGTGAGGCCCTGGATGACTGGAAAAGGGCAAATATAGTGCCTATCCTTAAGAAAGGGAAGAAAGAGGATCCAGGGAACTGAAGATCAGTCAGCCTGACCTCAATACCTGGAAGGATCATAGAGGAGGTCCTCCAGGAATCCACTGTGAAACACTTGGAGGAGAGCAAGGTGATAAGGAACAGTCAACATGGATTCACAACAAGCAAATTATACCTGAACAACCTGATTTACTTCCATGATAAAAGTGACAGGCTCCGGTGATGACATGTAGGGGGTGCACATGCACCCCCTGAAAGCCCCGATGCACCCCCTAACTGGCCACGCTCGCTGCTTAGGTGACCGGCAGGCAGGAGTGCTGGTGCCCCCCTGCAAGCGCCAGCTGAGGAATGGAGCACCGTGGCACTCCCAGCAGCCTGTCGCAAGTGGCCATGGGGACCACCCCCACCGGGCAGCAGGATCAGCTGCAGGGGACCCTGCACCCCCCCCCCCCCGCGGCGCCAAGGGCCCTGCCCCCCCCCCCCCCCAGTCGCTGAATGGTCACTGCGGGGCGGGGGGGGAGGGAGGGCAGCACATGCCCCCCTGACTAAGGTGGCACCAGTTGCCCATGACAGGCTCTGTGGATGGGGGAAAACAGTGGATGTGATATATTTGACTTAAGCATGGCTTTTGACACCATCTCCCATAACATTCTCATTAACAAACTAAGGAAAGACTAAACCAGGGTTGCCTAACCCTTGGATCAGAGACCAGATCTGGCCCACAGCCCAGGGATCTGGCAATCTGGCAGCAAGAAAGTAGCAGCACGTCTCCCCCACTACCAAATTTCTAGAGCCACGGGGAGCCCTGAGCCCGATGCAGTGGATTGGGCACCCAATCCCAGTACACAGCACTGGCCCCAGGACCCAATCTCGGCACACAAGGGGCCAGACGGGGCAGTGGGAGGTCAAGACCCAATCCTAGTGGGTGGGGGAAGTATCAGGCCCCCGGGACCAAATTCCAGCACATGGGGGCAGGAAGGAATGGTGGCAAGGCCTCTGGGACCCTATCTCCACACTCAGAGCAGAGTGGGTCATATTGAGCCCTTGAGACCCAAATCCTGACTAACAGGGCTCAAGCTGGCCTGTGGACCAGCCTCAACCCATTCATGTGGCTTGAAGGGT